CGCCGTCACCCCATGTGGTCGATGCCAACGGCGACAAGGTCTTGGGGAAAGCGAGGGAGAGGGCGACGAGATGGGAGAAGGCAGGAAACTGCGTCTTCTGCCTGTGTGTGTGGGTTTGCGCAAGCGCGTGTGCGACGGCAGAAGACGAACCTAATTACCTACTGTCGAGACGAGACTAGATTAAGCTTGAGGAGGGAGTGAGTAAGGGCTGTGCGCATTGCGACTGCCCAGTCCCTTGCAGGAGGAACTGCGGGCGCGTTGACATCCCACTCAAGGGCTCTTCGGTACAGGGTTACCTGTAGACCCAGGAGCATGATACCTTGTTGCGTATTCTGGTCAATGTACCCAGGAGTCTTCTGCACAAGGACATAGCAGGTGACGGTACTGCAAGATCTTCCTTCAATCCCACCTTCTAATCCGGAATAGTTATTTGTATAGCGGCGCAAAAGTCATCCCCCGTCCCCAGGAGACGTAAATACACAAATGTCCTTCGAGGTACATGTGCTAAAGTATAGGCCACCCCCAACAACAGACAGAACTAGACGTCGGTTCTCAAAACCGCACTCTGGACCAACTGACAGTGTTAATTCCCCTATAAAGCTCAGATGGGCTTAAATTAAAAAGATAACAAGAATCGGAAAATGCACTTGCTTTACAGAAGAACAAATGGGAAGATACAAGGGGGCGGGGGAAAGATCTAAGTTGACATTGACAGACACCTAAATCGACTTTTTTCTGGTTGTTAAACATTCTGATATCGCCATGCAATGACTATGATGAATAGAGAAAGCTGAGTCTCAAAACAAAACGGAAATACGAATTTCCCTTTTTAGGTAAATGCTGTTTTTATGCGATATTGCATTGCCATGATGACAACCGAAAGAAGGCAACACCGTAGTTCAAGCGGACTTTTGTGTTCAGTGACCCACTGGACATGGGATTGAGATTGGAAGTAATCAGGATTCGGGTATTACCATCAAAAAGTAATTGATTGTCCCTAATAAGTAATGGGGAGTTTTTCCATGAATTGGCACAGGTGACTGGCAGTAGAACCTGCTCTTAACGACAGGCTAACATGCGTATGCACCTTTGACTTCTCTAAGATTTAAGTACTAAAGGTGCTTTTGTGCTTAAACGACGAGGCAATTCAATAATATGCTATGAGTAGTAAAGATAGATTAAAACTAAGAGGATGGAAACCTACCTTGCTCAGAATAATCTCCGGCGCTAGGTACTCGGGAGTGCCGCAAAGAGTCCAAGTACGTCCTTTGACACGCTTTGCAAATCCAAAGTCTGTTATCTAGAATGGAAGGAGAAGAGAATGGTATAACCACGGAGAGATGAAACAAACTTGAAGAGCGAAACTGAAAAAAAAAGAATTAAATGACGGGCACAAAGAATCTTTTGGAGTTCAGGGTAAATGGTTAAGAAGTTCGAGACCACTATGAGCAAATGAGCCGGAGCGACAGAAAATATGGAGACAAGGCCGACTGAAAATGCGGTTCTAATATGTGAAATAACGTGAACTACTTGAACAGATAAGCATTTTGTTCTGCAATGCTGTGTTTATAAGTGAGGTCATCCAGCCAAAGTTTAAAGAAGTTTCCTTTTCGAGTGCAATTTAACAATCTATAATTACGTATATAGTTGGTGGCGAGTCACTGATGCATTTCGGTTTAATAAAGTGATTAGGATCCCTCTAACAGCCCCTGGTGGCGGACTATCCATACGGTGTGCAGCGAATTTTTGTGTTTCCGGCCCCATTGTTGGGTAAGGCTATGGTGGACTGAATGAAGACGAATACGTATGAAACAGTTCGATATCCATCTACCACCAATCAGTTACAGGACCCATTCAGCCCGTCTTGCTCTCCCTTAAATTCCCATCATCATCAGCCAGCCATACCCAAGTCCAGGTGTTGCGGCACCCGAGGCTAGATAGTATGGGGCGAATCGATCTGGTTACACGGAACAGGTGTGTTCTCTTGCTCCTGGCAGCTCACTTAAGCA